ATCGCAAAGATTATTATCTTGCTCCACAAAACCTCTACTGCAAAGCAGACACAAGAAAGTCATTAAGTCCCTTCCCCAAAGAGCTTCCAGTCTTGGGAAAACCAGACAAGGGGGTGTGAAGGAAGCCATTCCAGGAAGGAGGTGGGAAGGGAGTACTTAGGATAATGAACTTCAATAGAACAGAAGCATTTGCAACTAGATTATTTTTGGAGAATTATTTTTGGACAAGAGAAGCTTCCATGAACACCTTGTAGAAGCCTTCTAGTGTCTAAAGGGGCCTACAAGGGAGATGGGGACAGACTTTTTACAAGGGCACCTAGTGACAGGACAAGGAGGAATGGCTTTACACTGAAAGAGGGTAGGTTTAGATTAGATATTAGGAAGATATTGTAAGGAACTGGAACAGGTTGCCCAGGAAAGCTGTGAATGACCCATCCCTGGAAGTGTTCAAGATTGTTGATCTTGAAGATTGAGTGTTAAGGTCTCTCCAACCCAAACCAGTCTATGATTTTGTGAGTCTATGATTTTTTTTTCTTCCTGGAGTCAGAGTAATATTAAGAAATTAGATAAAAATAATTAAAAGCAAGAAACAAGTTTCACAAGGGAGACACCACTAGGGGATCCAGTGACACACAAGGCAAGGCAAAGGGAAAGTTTCAGCACTGGAAGATAAAAATGTGAGGCAAAACAATGGTGATCTTGTGGTTATAGCAGTGCGTTCCCCCTGCTGCATCTCCCTTACCTTCTAGGAGGGCCAGGCAGTGTCTCTTTATCAATCTGTGGTTAGCTGCTACATCAAACAGCTGGCAGCAGTAACTGCAGTAACCATCACCCTAGAGCCAGTGTGAGCACTTCGCCAGCCACACTCCTTTGGGAATTGCCCACAAACAAACTGCATTTAAAAACTGCTAAAATGAAGTTAAAATGCCTCCATCTCTCTGCCAGCCCCCCTGTGAGGAGTGATGCTCACTGGGCATCTGCACCCAGCCTGTGACTCGCAGAGCCCTCGCCAGTCAGGATGAGCATCACGGTGTGTGCTTTCCTCTCCAGCTTTAACCACACAAGTGTGGCTGTGTTGGACTCTTTGCAAGATCACAGCCAAAAAGCCTCTGCTGGACATGGGTAGGAGGACTTCCCCCCTTCCTGGACTGCCCCAGACACCGCCAGCGAGTGCATTTCCCCAAAAGAGAGCAGTATGGTTCAGCTGGCAGCAGAAGTTCGACTGTACAAATGTAATGTAAGCACGGTAAATGTAGTCCATGTCACACTGTTTGGGGGCTCCCAAGGGAATGAAGGGGCTGGAGAGCCCTTCACGGGTCATTTGGTCTCGCAGCCTTGCAGCTATATCCTCCAGCAGGACACATGTGCCCTAGGGACTGGGCAGTGACTCATCACACACCTCCAGTGCCATCCACAGCCATAGGGCAGTCACAGCCTTGGGTAAAGGCAGTGGTGCTGATTAGTCCCATCAAAGCCTGTAGGGGCACTTTCACCATCACCAGCCAGGCAAAAGATGGTACTTTCACCCCTCACACCTGATGGGTATGAGGGCTTTCTACAGCACCTCTCCCTCGTACCACTCACCCACAAAGAGCTTAGCCTGCAAAGCTGCAGGCAGGAGAGATGGTCCAGGAAGGCCAAGTCCCAACACATCATTTTGAAGTAAATTCTTAAAAATAGGTTGATAAGCTCTGCTCTCCACAGGATCTCCTCTTTTCCTTGCCCACATACAAGCCAGCCTGTGGCCACTCTGACTTGTGGGTGCATAAAGAGGAAGGGCACTTTGCCTCCTCCTGCTAGGGCCACAGGTCCTACGTGCAGCGAAGGGGAACCTCAGCCCGGCTGCTGAGCTTCCTGTACCCTCCTGACAACTCCCTGCAAGCCCCATTTGCTGTGCCAGAGTGGGTGGTGGGCACAACTCAACCTCAAGAGAGAAGATCCACTGGCATCACTTGTACCCCAGTGACCACAGTCTGAGGAGAACTATGCCTCAGAGGACTCGATCTCAGACCTCAAGGGAAGCCACATCGCAGAGATGTGGCAGGGTTTGTAGCTGTGCCCTAGCCATTCGTGCTGTGCCTACTGGCAGTGGTCCCTGGAGAAGGATGCTTCCCAATTTTAGTCTCCTTTCCAACTTCCTCCTCGCTTATCCGCACTCCTTCATCTCAGATTTAGGGTAGTTTATTTAAAGATATATCTTTTTTAAACCTCCCCCTTCTTAAAATCATCTCTGCTTTGATAATTTTTTTCAACTGTTTGGTTTTTTATTTTTGCTTTTTTTTTTTTTTTTAAGTGACAACTTTCTGTGTGCTGGGCAAGCAGCCCCGGCCGAGGCATCTCCCCGCGCTCGGCCGCAGCACCGGCGCCCCGGGCCCCCAGCTCCCCGCTTCGCCTCCAGGCAGGAGCAGCTCCATCCCTCAGCCAAGCACGCCCTTAGCTGCGGACCCCGGCGCCGGACGCCTTCCGCGACCCCTTGGGCAGAAGGGCACCCTCCCGGGCACCTGAGGTGGGCACGGCGAGCGCGGCCCCGGCCCCGCTGCCCCGGCCGGGCACCGCGGGTCCCGGGGCAGGGGGCGGGCGGGAGGAGGTGGCCAGCCCGGTCCCGCCCCGCGGCTCCGCGCCGGGAAGGCGGCGGGAGGCAGCGGGTCGGGCCGGGAGTCAGCGGGACCGGAGACCTGGACCGGGACCGAGCTCTGCTCGGTGGCGGCACGGCCCGACGGGCCGGGGGTAAGTCCTGGCTGCTGCCTCCCGCTCCCCTCCCGCCCGGCGCCGGCAGTCCCTTTTCCCGCAGCTCCCCGCCTCCCTCCCTGCCCGGTTTTCCCCAGCCCCCGGCCCCCGAGGCATTGCCGGGGCACACGGCAGCCGGGCCCGGGGCACCACGGGGAGGGGCGCAGCTCCCGCTGCCCCTCGGGTGCGGGAGCAGCGGAACAGCGGGAGCAGAGCAGCACCCGCGGCTGGAGACGAACCCAAAGCCACCGCCACACCTGGACCCCCCGCTCGGACCTCGAGCCCTTTCCCGCACCCGGATCTGCCGTGCGGGCCGGGACAGGCACCCGGACCCCTCTGAAGCGGAGATACACGGGAGGAGCGTCCCTTTCCCCCCCTTTCCCCCCCTTTCCCCTCCCTCTGCTCTTCCCCACGGCTGAGACCCTTGTCCTCATGGCAGGTTGTCACCCCCTTACCCGGGGTGGTGGGTGTCCTGCCACCGCTCTGTGAGGGTATCCAGGTACACTGGTACGTGCCTGGATTGGCAGCACCCTGGCCAGGTGCCAGGTGTGGAGTGAGCAGGACTGGGGGGGGGGGGGGGCGGGCGGGGGATTGACATAGTCCAGGGATGAGGGACCTGGCAGGGCTGGGAGGGATCTCAGTAGGGAAGACTGACTTTGGAGTGAGAGTCAAAAATAGTGCTTGTGAATATAAGAAACAGAAGACAAGACAGGAAACCCACAGCCAAACTGTGTGTTGGGATGCCTTACGCCTTCTGGTTATGTATATTATTGGTGATGTTTTGTTTATTCCCTGTTCTGGCCATGCTTATCACCTAGGCAGCTGCTTTTTCCTGCACTACAATACCAGCCTTTCCTGGCTCCAGACAATACAGAATTCCCAGAGTGGGAACTGTGTCTGTGCAAGGGACACAGTAAAATGAATCCTGTCTTTGGGTGGCTGCAGCTCAACTGTTTTATGAACAGTCCTGGACCCAGCAGCAGCACTCATGCTACAAGAGATCTTCGTGATCCAGTGGAAAGCTTAACTTCTTTGTCAGGGTCAGGCAGAAGAAAGATAGAGACAAGCACAAGCCATAAGAGATTGTTTCACCCCTGTTCTGAGGGATCTGTGTTTACAAGACATGGGGAAGGTCAGTTTCCATCTCATTCAACCCTTGTCCTCTCCCAGCTACAAATCATCAGGGGAAAGTAGCAACACTTTTAAGGATGAGTTTATGCCAAGGGGTTGGAGCAATTTATACCCATTGCACAGCTGTGCATCACAGATGCTGCTATTCAAGGGGTGAGGTGAAACAGAGTAATATTTACACCACTGCTATTGCAATGTTTTGTCCTTGCTTTTCATACCTGTCATACTGATGATGAGTTCAGCAACAGGAGCAGTAGCAAAGGAAAAAAAAGATACAAGCCATTAAATGTCATGGAACAACCTCGGTACAGCAGCTTTCATATTTCTGGAAAAAAGATCTTCCTCTTAAATCAAGGAAGGGTAGGTTACTGAGAACAGACTTAAATCTATTGTAAGAAAAAGAAATGCAGAGCACCCTGCAAGCATCCTCCCATTATTTCATCCCAAACATCAAGCTGGTTTGTTTTTCAGCACAGGAAGCATATCTTCTGGCCAGGCATGGAAAACACAGAGCACCGTATGGATGGAATGGAAACAGCACCAGCAGTCAACCCTTTACAAAGCAGGCAGGGGTTGGGACATGCTACAGGAAAAGAGGAGTTCTGGAGGTGGAGCTTGCTGCCAGTCTGCCAAGCACTTGAGTGTGTGAACTTATTGAAGGCATTTTTTGATGAGAGAAAGAAGAGGATGCTTCCCAGAAGAAAATATATAAGTTCCAAATTTTGGCCAAGCCCTAGTATGTTTGGGTAGCTGTGACGGGTCTTGCTCATCATTTCAAATTGTTGTCTTTCAGGCTGCACTCTTGCTCAGCTGACTTACACTGTGGTGTTTCTCAAAACCATTGCCCACTTTCCATACAGCTGCATTGGTTGGTAAGATCCATCTTTCACATGCACACAGGAGGTGAAATCTTGCATTCTTCTCTTGGCTTAGATTCAGTGAAGAACAGAACAGGCCAAGGAAGTCTTTAAGCAAAGCTCTGCCTGTATATGAGCAGAAAAAATACCTTTCTGATTGGCTTGGAGAAGAATTCATACAGAAAGTATAAAAATCGTACCAGTACCCACAGGGAGTTCTGTTTTCCACAGTCATTGCAGAGCTCTGATTTTCAATCCTTTCTTTCTCTTTGCAGTGGCTGCCCCATGGCCCTCTTCACCAGAGCCGGCAGCCATCCTAACGCAACAGACCCCATTCCCTGTGAGGCAAACAGCACCACAGAGCCTGAGCTGCCCCATTCACACGCCTACTATGCCCTCTGCTACTGCATCTTGATTCTGGCCATCATCTTTGGGAACGTGCTGGTCTGCCTGGCTGTGCTGAGGGAACGCACCTTGCAAACCACAACCAACTACCTTGTGGTGAGCCTGGCAGTGGCAGATTTGCTGGTGGCTACTTTGGTGATGCCATGGATGGTGTACTTGGAGGTAAGTACCTCTCAGGAATGATCAGCAGAATTTAACCACACCACTGCATGCGTGGTCATGTTCCTAATGAAGGCTGTAGCAGCATTTAGACTGATCTGTGGGGAGCAGCCCTGGAGCTGTCCTGCAGGCTGTGTACTGCTTGGGTGTGCTGCTTGGAGTTATTAAAAAAAAGGTATAAGAGTGTGTGTGTGTGTGTGTATGTGTGTGTGAAGCCATCCCAGAAAGATAGAGTTAGACTCTTCAGTTTGATTGCAACTAAAAAATATTATTAAAAGTCAAGTTTTATGTGAGACTGGAATGGAATAGTCTATCAGCTCAAGTGCATTCCAATCCTTAATGAAATCACATTATGCTTTGCTTTAGAAAATACTTGGCATTCACTCTTGCTCTGGACAGGGTGGGACTGAGGCACATCTGTGGAGCAGCCTCTGCCCCATACAAAGCCTTGGCCATGATTTGTGAGCACAACAGTAGGTCCATTTCCTAGTTGTGTTTGTAGACCTATTCAAGACTAATTTCCGTCTGAGGAGCTTGGATAATCAAAGCAGCTGATGCAAGAGTCATCCAGACAACAAAGAAAAGAACTCATACGCATCCCAAACCAAACTACCAATCCTAGCATTGCACAGGACTTCCTATAAAACTGGGCTGTAGGACTCCAGAAAGACTAAGATTTAAAAAACAGTCCAAAAAGCCCCTAAGTTTTTCAATATTTGCTGCTGTTTATGGATCAGCAATGCCATCAATGAAGCAGAAATGGCATCATGCTTCAATACACCATGAGCCTGGAAATTGCCAAAAAATCATTCAGTCCCTAAAACTGTGTAGAATACCTATTCATCTACTGAAGGTTTGCCAAACCAGACTTCAGAACTGGCCCTTATTTATGGAAAAGTTTAAGGTGGATAAATGCCTCAGATTTAAATGCTGCTTGTGAAGTTTGTGCTTTACACTCCATTTTTAGAGTCATCAGTGGCCATGAAATGTGTTATTTTATCAATCATGCAAACCAGAACTGTCTCTTTCTGAGAAATCTTTTGGGAAGGCTGTGACAGAGCAGCAACAGGAACATTTTATAGCCTCAAAATCCTCATCTCAAGGAGGTTTCTGGCTCAGAAGTGCTGTTTAACAGTGTCTAGCAATCTTCTGGGGGCCAACATGTAGGTCTGGCACACCAGTATTGCTGCCCTCTTCTTTACTGATCCCTGATGCTGTGGCTGCTGAAGCTCACCAAGGGTTCCAGCACAGTGGCATCAGGGTATCCTCTCCACTGGAGTTTGAGGGCATTAAACACCATCATGCCACGTAGTCATTGCATAGATGGAGGAGGACATGCAGCAGCATGGCTGGGAGCACCCTCCTCAGGCTTCTCACAACATCCAATTCTACCTCCAAAGGGGAAGAAAGCTTCAGGAGAAGGTTGTCACTGAGGTCTAGTCTGCTGAGACTGTGTGGGAGTCACACTGTCCCTCATCTTGTCTCTCACACAGGAGCAGTGAGACCTAAGCTGCTCTGTGAGCTCCAGGAGCTCTGCTGGACTGGTGTCAGAGGGAGGACAGAGCTGAGTTACTGCAGCTCAGCAGTGCTGACCACATGAGTGCTCTCTGTACTGCCACTGTGCAAACCCATGAGCAGCCATCTCACAGCTGCAGGAGCCGGCAGCAGCCCCAGGCATCAGCTCTCAAGAACAAAACCCTTCAGGGAGCCTGCTTAGATGCACCACTACTTTCATGCCTGCCATCTCCTGATGCAACTTGGCTTCCTACTTTCCCATCCATGTGCTCCTCAATGCAGCATCACCATTCGTATCTGAATTGTGGAGATTCTGTTGTTTATTTTAAGAATTCAGGAGACTGGTGGATAAGCATAAGTTTAAAAAAATAATCATTGGGCATTCATTAACTGGAAAGCTTCTTATAGAGTTTGGAAGTTAAAATAATAACACCACAATTTTGTAGATAAAGCAGACTGGTCATCAAGGAAGATTAGGTGAAAACCTGACCTTAATAGTCTATAGGGATCTTGAGCACTGTGTTTGATAGAGCCAGATTTCACCCTGGACACTTCTGCTGCATAATCACTGAGTGGTAATGAGAGATTGTATCAGCTCATCTCTCTGTAGTTTGCTCTCATCAGCTGTAAGAGATTAATATTTGACCATCCACCTCACCAGGTGATATGAGGATTCATTCAGTTAATACCTGGGATACCCTTTGAGATTCCTGGACAAAAAGCACCAGAGGGATAAAGAAGAAGTACCCTGCCAGCACATGAAAACCAGGAATGCAGACTAGCAGGTTCTAGCTGTTGTAGCAAAAATGATTAGAAGAGAGCAATAAAAGGAAGATCAGAAATAGAATTTTTAAAATGTTGAACAAGGCATATAATAAAAAGGCTTTTCTTCACTGGTAAATTCTGGAATAAATTCCGGGTTCATATACCCCACAGGTAAATATTAACTATTTCACCAACTCCAGCAGAGCTACTCCCCATTTCAGAAGTGGCAGGTGGAAGTGAGAATAGGTTTTAAGCCCAAACATTTTGATCTGTCAAGCATCCTCTTACACAAGCTGCAGTCTAGTATGCAGGTGGTGTGATGTGATAGCATCATCCTGAGAGGCCTCACTTCTGAGCCATCCCCACCAGCACCTTCTTCAGTTTTAATGGTTCACATTCTTGACCTCAGCATTTTAACATGCTCAGGGCCTTGGAAACTCCCTCAGTTAAGTGCTTGTTCATCTGCTGGGTTAGCAGCAGCTGGCTTTCATGTGAACACCTGCCACTGGCTTGGTGAAATTTTCTTCAGACTCCACAGCTCATAAAGAAACTGCATTACTTTTTACCTCAAACTGCAGAAATATCCCTTACTGGGTCCCACTGCAAAGGCTTCCAGCAATTTTTTAATATATTTTGAGGTGGTCAAGCAGATCTCAAAATCTGAAACTAAAGTAAAACCAGTGTAGTGTTTCTTAGGAAGCTGAACCTACCTGTTAAGGTCCCTAATCTCAGATGGACAGCCTTCAGACTGCATGTCTTGTAGCTCATCTGTGTAGAAAAGCTCAATAGTTTTGGTTTGACTTTTTCCCCTTTACTTACTTTTTTATAAGAAAACAAAGGAGCACTTCCATTATCAAGAGAACTGGAGAAGAAAGCACAGTTCCCTTCTGCATTCTGCAAGCCAATTCCCATTTCCCTGCCCTGTATTCATTCAGGATCAGAGGGTCTAATAGAAGACTGACTCATTCAATACCTGATTTCTGAAATGTAGCAGCTGGGTCCAGCAGAGAACACCCAAAAGACACAGCTCACCGCAGCAAGTTTCTGTGCCCATGTGTGGGAATGCTGCCACTATCAAATCATTTACATTTCTCGGGATTATTTCTTAAACAATTCTCACAGACTGAATTTTTGTACAAGTGCTTTTCTCTGCAGGGGGCTGCATCCTTCCTAGGCACCAACACTTGCAGTGCTGACCCACTGCCTGAGAAGCCAAACTTACTTGTGGCACCTTCTCCAGTATGGTCTGGGATACTTATTTTTTGAATGGGTTTTGAAGAGCTCCTAGGATGGATCCTACACAGACTTACCAAGCAACTTGCTCCACTGTACCACTGTCCCAGTCAGAAAAGTAACCTTCATAACCAGTTTGCACCTTTCTTCCAGCTCATTCCTGTTGCCTCTTGTCCTCCCACCGCACTATTGCTGTCACTGCTGTGAAAAACTCAGCTCCATCTTCTTCAACCTTTTCAATAGCGTCGCCCTAGGCACCAGAGGGCTGTTAGTCTCCCACCCCTCAAAGCCATCTCTTTTCCAGACTGAAAAAGTCCTGCTCCCTTAGCTGATCCTCACAGCTGCCCTGGCCCCTGTGGATTGTTTTGGTGGCTCTCCACTGGACTCACTCCTGTTAATCAATGTTTTTCTTCTACTCATGCCTCAAAACCAGGTGCAATATTCCAGATGTTGTCTAAATGTGAGGAGAGACCAGAAACTAGTGGCAGTTTCTGATTGCTTCCCAGGACGCAGATGAAACAGCAGGATCTACAGGGCTGAAGGCTAAAATCCAGACTCTCTCCCAAGCATGGACTTTCCCCCTTTTTTCTCTCCTACTCCCCCATTCGGCACAGGACTGGGTTTGTTTGCAGCTGAACAAGGAGGCAGCCTGCCCTCCATCTCCTACAAGGAGTGGGCACTGAGGCAGACCACCTCCCTCAGAATCAGGCTGTCATCCCAATCCCAAGAACAACAGGGCCACACAGTGCTTGGAACATGCTTGTCAATCAAAAAGGCTGTTGTCAAGAACTCAGTGCCTGCTCCAAAACCCACTTCTCTCCATTGCTAAGACTGAGCTTAGGCTGCGGCTGAGCTTTCACAACCACACACTTCAGATTAAAAATTCAAAACAACCAGAACAGCTTGGTAGCAACTCAAACCCCTTTATCTGAGTAGCTTGTGAGTTCTCACTCAGATCTAATAATCAAAATCTGTAACTGAGATAAGAATTCAAATAAGGTTTTTGAGAAGCCTCAGTCTCAGATCTCAGTTTCATACATAAATGCAAAAAATTTGCAGCACTTTTCCAGCTCGCTACCTGCAAGAGCACTCTGGCAGCTAAGCTGAGAAAGACTTTCAGCCCTTAGATTTTCTCAGATAATCATTAATCAAAGGATAAATACAGTGATAGGAAATTTAAATCAGTTTTTCATGCTAGGCCTTGAGAGAAGGGATAGCTGCTGTTTCTTCTACCTGCCTCCCTCTGTAAGAGCACACAAAGGATTGAAATTAAAGTGAGGCTCCTTCTCCACGACCTACTGCTGTGTTATCTTGCACACAACACTGGTGCCTCAGTTTCCCTCTGCCCATCACTGTGGAGCTCCTCCAAACTGCTGAGATACTTGGAGGAGAGCAGCTTCTCACACATAACTTGTCAGGACCTGGTGCAGAGCAAGGCTGACAGTTTTGTGTCACTGGTGCAGGTGACCGGAGGGGTCTGGACGTTCAGCCGTATTTGTTGTGATATCTTCGTCACCATGGATGTAATGATGTGCACAGCCAGCATTCTGAACCTCTGTGCCATCAGCATTGACAGGTAAGACACAGCAGCATCCAGGGGGACAGCCTGGATATGGGGGTCAGCCCTGTGCCCCAGTGGGGCAGGGACAAAGAAGTGGGGTGAGCACAGACAGCATGAGTGTCCTCAGGACAACAAACCCCTGAAGGTCTGTCCCTGCCACTACTGCTGTTGATGTGGCTCTGCAAGAAGAGGCCTGCACTGGAGGGCAAGGAGACACAAGCAATAAAACATCCCCAGCAGATAGTCAACCATATCCTCAGGCTTCTTAAAGGCATGACCCACAATTGGTCATCCAGCTCCCAGTGAGTGTCAAATAGGGTTTCTCCTTCTGGAGATCTCACTCATGAAGCTTTAATAAACAAAATCCTGCCATATTCACAGACAGAGATGAAGACTATTGCTGTGTAATCTTGAGCTTTGCTCTGGTTTTCTGCATTTTAAAACTGAGCCTATTTTAAGCAATGCTGAGGGCTGGGAGCCAAAACCTTGTCACATGTGATCCTACTGGGACCAAGGAATGAGAGAAGGGAAAAATACTGCATGCTGTACCTTTGTAATGTGTAGTTCAAGGATAATAATGCAAGGCAGCTCTCAGTGCTGCTTTGGTCTGGTGTTCCTCCATCGGAATCTGTATCCCCATTTCAGATTGGCTGTCTGCAAGACACAGCCCCCAGGCTCTCCTAAAGATGAGACTCCTGTACCTTCCAAATCCTTGCCCTGCTGGGGCAGCATCTCCTGGAGCAGCCCAGCAACTGAAGGTCCTTGACAACCTGCCCCCAGGCAACCCTCCGCCTGTCAGGCTAACACCAGACCAGGCAGCTGAGACAGAGTTTACTAGTTTGTGGTTACTCCAGAGTGCTCTTTCACAGCATATAACTCTAGGGCCTTGAGGGTTAGGGATTTCCTGGGGTGTCTTGATCCATCTGGTAGCCCAAACCTTGTAGCTTTGCATACTGTGAGTTCTGCTGAGTGTTTCTCTGCACTGCTGCCAACTAACTCTGATTTCCTCTGTTCCTCCCCCCAATGCCCCACTTACCATTTCTACAAATTGCTGATCCCATCATCTGATTTTCTCTACTTTCCTCTTCTATTTCTTCACCACATTCACCATCATGTTCCCTGTGCTGCTTTCACTTCTCCCTTTAAAAACCTGTTCCTTTCCCTCCCTCCTTCCTCCATCTCCTCTTCCCGGAGCTGGTTTGGTCTGCAGATACACCGCAGTGGTGAAACCAGTTCAGTACCAGTACAGCACTGGGCAGAGCTCCTGCAGGAGAGTCTCTCTCATGATTGTGATAGTTTGGATGCTGGCATTTGCAGTGTCATGCCCTCTCCTCTTTGGCTTCAATACTACAGGTAGGTGATATCCTGAACAACAGCACGCAGGAGGGGTTGGCAGTGGAGCTGCCCTGTGTATGGCCAGGTCACTCAACATGGGTCTGCAGATTTGCCAAGTTACAGGAAATTTTAAGGAACTGAAAACCACACTATGAAGGGAGAGAACAATCCGCATGTACTCAAGTCTATAAACTTGCCATTTGTTCACGTAGACAGTGACTGTCACTCTAAAGGGCAAACCTGCCTGCTCTACTGCCAAATCAATGCCCATCAAGGTGTCCAGGTCTTCAGATCCCCATCAAACAATCACTTTGAACACACAGAGCAAAACGTGCAGCACATACAGTGTGCACACACACACACACTTAATGGCATCTTGCCGATATCCACAGGTTCAGAAGCACAGTTTTGACTCTGAAACTGTGCTTCTGAACCTGTGGATATCTTAGAAATGTGTACAGAACACATTTCTAAACAGCAAGGATTGCATATTAGCACTGCTTGTTAGAGACCTCCTTCCTATCCAGCTGGCTGCCTGCTTCCTTAACTAGTCCTTTGAGGAGGGCAAACAACTTAGCCTCCACCTTGGAAGCAGGTTGGTCTTTTTCCTTTCCCTTAGCTAGGGCAGCACAGTCTCCCTGGAGGCAGAGGAGCAGGGGAGCCTTCCTTCCCACTGAGTCACAGGCAGAAGCTTCTGCCCCCATCCATCCTCTCTGCAGTGCTTGAGGCAGGAAAGGGATGGGAGTGGGAAATTCTGCTGCCCCCCTCTGCCTGGTTCAGACAGATAGGAGTGAATGCACACTGCATCTAGACAGCTCAGAAGCTGTCAAAGGAATAGGAGAAAGGGTGGGAATAGACATGAGAGAACAGCTGTTGGACAGAAAAGCAGTCAAATGCATGCTTGCTAATGGTTGTTAGCCCTGTGTTGGGTTCATTTTAAGCATCACTTAGGTAATTGGGTAAGCCAGAGCATACTCTGCACTCCTTAGACTGCCTTTGCCCCCAGCCACCTTCTGTCTCGCTTTGCCAACACACCAGAGCCTCCTCATACTAAACTGAAATCAGCTCAGCCACTCCTCTCTCTCTCTTCTCCTCCCCAGGGGATCCCAGTGTCTGTTCCATATCCAACCCTAGTTTCGTCATCTACTCCTCTTTGGTGTCCTTCTACCTCCCCTTCATGGTGACCCTGCTGCTCTATGTCCGGATTTACCTCGTGCTCAGACAGAGGCAAAAGAAGCGAACCCTCACCCGGCAGGGCAGCCAGAGCGCCAGCACCAAACCGTGTTATGCACACCAAGTAAGAGCCACATGAACCCACTAGGAGCTGTCAAAAAGGAGAGGAATGCATCATCTCTTCTCCTCAAAGGGTTAAAACACAGAACAGAAAGCATAAGGAGGAACATGACATGTTTTCATCCCATCCCTTGCTCATACACCATGATATTTGAGGCACAGACGCTCCAGTTAAATCCTTTTCAGACCCTTAAAAAGAGGATATTCCCTGTGTATCTCTGCCCTCTAGAAGTGGCTAGTAGAAAAGAGCACAGCCTACTTCAGTACTTCAGTATTTCTTCAGAGCAGGGTTTTCTCAGCCATGCATAAGTCTTCATTTTTTGCATAATTTCTTCATTTATTGATTTTAATGTCTTCATTTATTGATTTTTGCTCTATGAAGCTTCACTCTCAGGGCTTCACAGGCTTTAACATCTGTTATTAAAATAAAAAACCCTCTTCATCTGACAGACTTAAGAGGTCAAAATACTCATGGTGCATGCAACATTTGTTCCACTGACCTTTCTAGATGAAATATCTGCAACCATGGGAACCAACACAACAGTTTGAAAGGAATTACCTGATCATGCATATCCACTCCTTTACCCATTTTTGCACAGTAAAGCTACATTAAAAGGGTGGGGATGCTAAGGGGAGCAGGGCCAATACAAAAATACAGATGGAAGGTTAGCAGAGCAGGTATTTCTGCTCTTACTGTTCTCATGCTTCTCCTTGGTGGGATGGAGGCAAACTGTTGCCAGCTGCTGGTTAACCCCCAGGTCAGTGCAGAGGACATGGTGCAATATAAGAGGCAAGTGAGGCTAAGGATAACTCCTACAACTTCCCTCATCATCCTCTGGCCCAATGAGCAGTTTGGATGGTTTCCAGATCCTGTGTGACATCATCTTTTGCAGGAACACATGGAGAGGAAAGCTTTGCCAAACAGATGCCAAGGCACCTTTTCCCCCTGTCTCTCGCTCAAATGCACAGGCCAGGAGATGTCTACAAAAAGGAGGTTGCTCACTGTCTTCAGCCTGCAGCGGTACCGAAGCTTCTGCCATGAGGCATCCCTCACCAAGGCACCAGGGACTACCCAAACCAGCAGGTGGGAAGAGAGGAGGAGGAGCATGAAGGCAGCAGTGGAGGTACGGAGGCTCAGCAATGGTGGTACACTCAGCAGCTTGAGGCTGTCCCAGCAGCAGCCCCGACTGATCCAGCTGCGGGAGAGGAAGGCTACGCAGATGCTGGCAATTGTCCTGGGTGAGTGAGAGCCATTCTGCCTGTGGGGTGCAAGGGGTGATGGTTTGGGACTTCCAGGAGCCTCCTAATACAGATCCTCCTAATACAATATTGAGATTTAATAAAAAAATGCAAGCTGGGCCTTGGCTTCAGCTGTTACTGCTTCACAAACTCAGGATAGACAGTAGTGGAACATTTAGGGATCTAGAATAATGCTCCCAAATGTTGAGAGCCATGTATGTTAGTGTTTTATTTACTATGTTTTGTTACCCTTGTGTTTAAAATCAGTGGCCAACAAGCCCTGCTAGAGGGAGCAACAGCCAATACCTTTGCTTTTCCTTTTCCTTTGTTTTACTATTGCAAGGCTGGAACAATCCTAAGTTTCCATACATGCAGAAGCTCTTAAATCTGATTACAGAAAGGGAAACTGAGGCAAGGAGCCACAGAGGAGCTTGTTCATACATCTGGGTAGAGAAGCTGGGACACTGCTGTCCCTGTCACCTGCTGTGGTCACCAGATGCTCTGTTCCCCCCCATTAACTCAGTAGTAGCAGGAAAATAAAGCAGCCCTCATCCTAACTGATTAAAGCATCAGAGGCTTTCCCTCAAAGTTGTGGCCACTTGCTTTTGTCTGTCATCAGACCACTTCTGAAGCCCCATACATTCACAAACCTGGTCCCAAGGAGCCCAAACTTTTGCCAAATCTCTCTATGTCAGGAATAAACGTGGCCTTCAGTGTTTGTGAAATACAGAAATAGTGAGGGGCTGGAGGGAGAGGTCCCCCTTGCAGGCCCCTTTCCAAATAGTTGCTGGTGTAAACTCACGGATTGTTTTCTGCCTCTCTCTAAACCCAGGGGCATTCATAGTCTGCTGGCTGCCCTTCTTCTTGATTCACATCCTCAATGCCCACTGCCCATCCTGCCACGTGCCTCCAGGGCTCTACAGTGCCAGCACCTGGCTCGGGTATGTCAACAGTGCCCTCAACCCCATCATCTACACAACTTTCAACACTGACTTCCGCAAAGCCTTCCTCAAGATCCTCTGCTGCTGACTGTGGGGCCACACCGGGCTGCACGGGTCTGCAGCAGCCCCCTGGGGGGAGAAGAAGACAGGGACAAGCCAGCGAGTCCCTCAGTGCTGGACACAGCCCTGGGTGTGCAGCACATCAGCCAGCACAGTGCATCGCTGCTGGGCGCTGACAGGCTTGCGGGGCACACGCGACCCAAACGCAGATGGCATCCCTCATCTCTGCTGCCTACGTGCTGGAAGTGCATTTGCCCTCCCACAGCTGGAACCTCAGCCTGCAGAAGGCACCCAGCTCATGCACAGCAGCCCTAATAAGAGGACAGAATTTGAATTCTTTGACAAGGATCCTGATCTCTTCGGTCAGGAGCCAAGAGTGAAAATTGGACAACGAAACTTAGAAAAGGAGCACTGATGGAGAAATAACAACTTTCCTGTTGTTTCCATCAAAAGGTTTGCCTGTAAAACTGGGTCAGTCTAAGTGCTTTGAGAAAATCACCCTAGCTGCAAATGAAATCTTCCCTTGTGCTGCCAGCTTGTATTTTACTGCTCCTTGCAAGGTAGAGAGGCAGCTACTCTCCCTCACATGACAAGTGCAACACTACCCCAGGGTCCCCTCTCCTCCTGACCCAAGGACCAGTGATAGATTGGCCATTACTTAACTACCACACACCCCAATGATCTACAGGGGCCACCAAGAGAACCAGGCTCTTGATAGCTGCCATAGATTCAAACCTGTTTTTTCAGCTGGTTGCATGCACCTTGTCTCCAAACTTTTTCACAATCTCCTTGGAATCAATCTTCACCTGTGCTCCTCTCCTGACCAGGAGCACTGCTAGATTTGGGGTTTGTACCACCTGGCTGCTGCAGTAACTCCAGTTACAGCCCATACCTGGGGGAGAGCTCTTTCATAACATTCCTCCCAGTAAGAAGGGACATTTGCCTTGGGATCAGCTCCAGCACTCTCCCTGATGCCCCTTGCCAATACTCTTGTCATCACATATGGTATCTGTGTATCCCAGCATCCAGGAGCTGGCCAAATACAGCCTGGCCATGGTCTCCTTTCCTAGCAGTATTCTACAAAGCCATCTCCAGTAGTTCCTGGATGAAAAAAACAGAAAGTCCTGATGTACCGTAAGCTGGTCTTGTGTCAGGGCATTCTAATGCTCTTCCCCTCATATAGAAAAACCTGGCATGGGCCAGAGAGCCTCAGCTTGGTTCTCCCATTTTGCCCTCTTGCTGGATCAGAGGCTTCAGCTCTCACTGCCAGGATTTGGTTTAGTTGTGCTGTCAGCCATGCTCGTTTGATAGCTTTGGGCATAACTCTGTGTGCTGCTCCTGCCTGTGTCCATGCCACAGCTCCTCCATCTGGGAAGGGCTTCCTTTCCTTCCTAATATGAGGCCAAGGCCATTGTTCTCTGCCTCCAGAGCACATGCCAGAGCTCTAGCTGCTGCTTTGGTTTGTCTGGGTTTTGGGAGGAGGATCTTGTGAAGAGCATGTGTCATTTGCCTGGGCAGGTGCCCTCCATACTGCATTGTAACTGCCTTAACCCAATAAAACACAAGTGTAATTGGAAGTTTTGGTATCTTTGTGATTAATGTACCTCCTTCCATAAGCCTTTTGTCATCTGTAGCCCTCTTAACACTTTCCCTGTAAAAAATTATCATCCACCCAGACACCTGCAAGAAGTCTTTATTATTACTTGCATTTTCCTTGCAACTGGGAAAGAAATCAAAGGCTTCTGTAAGCACTTCCAGCAGATGAATTCTGGAAATACAGTCAGTTAGTTTCCCAGCTACACCAGGCAGACATGCAGTAGTGTTACTCTATCTGCTCAAAGATGCTGGATAGCACAGGAGGCACTCAGCACACAGGATGGAGGAGGTATGAATCAAGTGAACCAACCTGTGGACAGATTGCCACTCAAGTAATTCTCATTAAGATGCTTCATAAAAGAGATCACCAGTCCAGTTGCTTTATGTAACAATTGTCAGTAAGGAGGAAATTAAAAGATCTTTTAAAGGATGACTAGGTCCATTTCAAGACCTGGCCTAGCTTCTCTCAGGGGTCAGCTTGATCTTGAATTTGAACCAGTTCTTCAAGGAGTGATCCCCAAGATGATTCAGGGTAGAGGTAAGAACAGGAGGTGTCGCAGAAAACTAAGCAGCATTTTCGTGTCCACACAGCTATAAGGGATGGGGAAAAGTCTGTATCTAAACATATGGTCCTTTCTTTACTAAGATCTGAACTACCAGATCACAGAACTGACTGGGACAAAAAAAAAAAAAAATACAGCACAAAACCCTCACACAATTACAAAAACTCAACTCAGAACCAAAACAATCTCTGTCTCCTCCCTCAAGTGCTGCTTGAGCACCATGCCCAGTTTTCCTCTGTCAATACGATCATAGGTGATCCTATAGAAAATGCCAAGGAACAGAAGCAATTACAGGCACAAGCAGTTGATGCCTCTCCACCCTCTCCAGCAAGCCAGAGAGATTGCTGAGGGCCCCCCCCAAGACACACCCCACTCATTATTTACAGCAGAGTGATCTGCATTCTCCTTTTCCAACTGCTCAATGTCTCCTACTAACCTTAATTTTCTACATTTTCCTCCATGGTATTTTGTTTTCCCTGACTCCACAGCTGGCTGGGAGAGGTGAGCTGTGACGCTGTGTTCTATGGGGACTCATTACATGTTGATATTCACATTAGAAGAGCCTTGGGATAATGCAGAAGCCTCCTCTCCTGCAGAGAGGAGAAGGGAGCTCGGAGGCAGCCCCAGGTGCTGTGGCAGCAGGGCTGGGCAGACGTGCAGATGCAGCACTGCAGGGTGTGCTCACCTCCACCCCGCCCCAGCAGGCAGCTGCAATGGGGCACCTCAGGGCCCCTGTGCTGCAAGACATTCGTGAACAAGAGAGCAGCCAGGAAGCAGCTCCACCGTGGCTGAGGAGAGTTAAGACCCTTTGGAGATGAAGAAGAGCCGGCAACACTCACTGGGAAGATCAGCCCCACCCCCCCCCAAGGTAAAAGGCAGCCATCCAAGTGCTGCCTGTCTAGACACGTTTATAGCACGCCTGAGAAATGGACTGAAAAACACCATTTATCCCTGCATCCACCATCTCCCAGCTCACAGAGCCATGAGCTGTGGCTCAGCTGCAGGAACGCAGATCAATGAGCCACTGAGTCCACATATCCCACAGTTTGCTATTCCACTGTACCTGGAGCTCCCCATTTGTGACAGATGTGCCACATGTTGCATGTGTTAAGCTTCAGGTCTAGGACCAAAAATGCAGGTTACCCAAGTCACTAAAATCCTAAATGGTATCAGACACTGAACTGGAGCCATCCAGAGTTAAAACTAAAAGCTCTTATGTTGAGTTTTACACTGTAAAATACAAACAGAGAAGAAACCATGAAACATTCTACCTCGTCAGAGGCACAACAGGCACCAGACCATACAAGAATCTTTAAGCAGAAGAGCACAAAGGTCCATGGGGCAGAAGATAATCTTCCATGAGAAAATGCTGGTTACTGGAAAGGCAAGGAATTTATGGAGGAGGTAGGTTTCACCTACCATCGAAGACCAGTGCTCTGCAGGTGATACTGCTCAGTGAGTTTTCTGCAGGTGCCTTGCAGCAGCTGTTGGACATGTTGTTTTAACAGTCCCAGCTGCAGATATTAAAATCCACATTTGCCAGACTACAAGGACAAAGCAAAGCCTTGCAGAAAAATCACACTTCTCCAGGTAACCCTCCTTAGGGCTCTTAGGGGCTGGGCTGGCCTGGCCAGATACTCAGCTGAGCTCAGCTGGACCCCACTGTGGGGCTAAGCACAGTGAGCTTCCCCCTAGGGAAGAGAAGAGAGTGCACCTGGAGTCTGCCTCTCTGAGGGGAATTGGAGTGGCAGGGGGTTCTCTGTTCCAGCTGGGGCCAGCACAACCTGCTCAGGATGGCAGCTCCCCTGGAAGACAGAGCTTGGCTGCAGCTTATTGCTGTTGCTGATGTTTTCTGAAGAATGTCTAATCGATGCCAGCATTTCAAGGCAGGATCAACAGCCTGCAGGCTGCTGATATGGTGACACTCAGAACTACAAATAGGAATTGTGGACAACTCAGAGGACAGCAGTAGCAATCTGATTAGTTTCAGCTAAGTGTGTGATGATTTGGTCACAAAGTGACAGACCCTGGCTGTCAAATACACCTGCAAATACACCTGGCTCATCTAACAAGAAGAATGGGCTCATCAGTTCTTTCTCTGACCAATGCAAGTATCCCAAATCTGCATGAGCCTTTGAATGAGCCACTGAAGTGTGTTTTTCCTTATCTAATGATAATAATGAATTCATATTGACATAACAATGTCATCTCCTGGCAGTATTTTGCCACCTGTCCTTCTGCCTTATGAGCAAAGGAAGGCTCACAAGACTGTAGGAATTTCAAGGTGTGAGGGATTCAAAACTGTATTTCTTCAAAGTCAGCATCATCTGCTAAGTACCTCTTACTGAATGACAGGATGTAGAAGATGCATCCCAGACCAATGCTGCCTTTCAATCTCAAAAACCACTGATCCAGTTATTCTCTGTTACTCCCCACATAGTCAATCTTGACACATAGTAGTGAACTTCCTTGTTATGCCTTCACGGCATCACTCATGCCACCTTTCCTTGGTTCCTTACTGCCTCAAGTGTCAGATCAGGAGCCCACCAACTCTGATGCCAACCACACCTTTCTTCAACAGGGATAGATTTTCTCTGAGGCCCAGGCCTGGTATTTTCCTGAGCTTCCTTTGTGATTCTGGGAGTAAATCTCTTCCTGCCAGACACTGGTCTCATCCCTGAGTGCCTCTGGAAATGTGAGGCAAAGAAAACCTCTGGGGCCAAAGAAGAAAACAAAGATAATTAAAAATTAATTTCGGTATAATGATGTAAGCATCTCAGTGAGACAAGCATTAGGCTTGTTGTATCTTTGGTGATGTGGGGAAGACCTTACTGGCTTCCTGCCCTGGGGACTCCTGTCAGTTTTAATAAGTTTTACTGCACAGCTGTGAGCATGGCAAATTGAACAGCCCAAATAAAGACCATTTTCACCGGACAGAAGCAAAAATACGTTTCTTTCTGACATCCCATGTCAGGGCAGAAGGGC